ACGCCAACACGTTGGGCTAATTTTTGTACTTTTAGTAGAGATGGGGTTTTACCATGTTGGCCAGGCTGGTCTCAAACTCCCGACCTCAGGTGATTCACCCGCCTCGGCCTCCCAAAGTGCTGGGATTACAGGCATGAGCCACTGCACCCAGCCCTTATCCATTCTTGTGGCCCCAGTTTCTCCTCTACAAATGGTTTCAAAAATTTATGTCTCCAGTCAGACTACTTCTTAGAGCTCCAGGCCCAAGTGACTGTCAACAGGACATCTCTATCTGGATGTCTCACAGGTACTTTGTTCGGAATGGAATGCCTCATTCTCCATGCTTAAAATATTTCCTATCCCAGTTTAAGACATCACCATCTTTTCCATTGCCCAAAGGATTAGATAAGGGTTAGTTTAACAGGGTTTATACAGATGTCTTTCAGCTTCAGCTCTGTCTCTAGTGATAAGAATGGCTTTCTTCTGGTATAAGGAGGGCAACTTTCACATGGGAGTTTTGTCTCCTGGTATCAGTAAGAAAAAGGAAGGCCAGAGTGCTCTTCTTGCATATGCTATTTTTTAATTCCACGCTATTTTCAAAATAGTCCTTATGCCAAAGTGGCATATCTCAGTGTGGCATATTTTGACTCTACAACTCCAACATCTAGTCACAAAACCTGCCAATTTTACCTCCTAAATATACCTTCATGTTTCTTCCTGAGTGTTTCATACCTACCTCCAAAAATAAGTCTGATCGTGTTAGGACTCCTCTCCCTGTTTTCCCCCACCCCCCAAATTCAGGACTTATCTTCAGGATATATAGTCTGAACTCTGTTTTACAGGGTCCTCCAAGGTCTGGTACCTGCCTCTTTATTCAGCCTTATCTTACCCATCTCTCTTTTATATTCCACCTTCCAACTACGTGGAATTTCTTTTTTTTTTTTTTTAATAAAGGGTCTCCCTGTGCCACCCAGGCTGGAGGCTTACTATATAGCCTTGACATCCTAGGCTCTAGTGATTCTCTCACCTCAGCTTCCCAAGTGCTGGGACTACAGGTGCATGCCACCATGCCTGGCTATTTTTTGTATCTTTTGTAGAGACAGAGTTTCACCATGTTGCCCAGGCTCTTCTCAAACTCCTGAGCTGGAGCAGTCTCCTGTCTCAGCCTCCCAAAGTGCTGGGATTACAAACATAAGCTACTGCGCCCAGCTCCTTCATGGAACTTTTCTTTTTTTGAGACAGAGTCTCACTCTTGTCACCCAGGCTGGAGTGCAGTGGCACAAGCTCTGCTCACGGCAAGCTCCACCTCCCAGGTTCAAGCGATTCTCCTGCCTCAGCCTCCCAAATAGCTGGGATTACAGGTGCCTGCCACCATGCCTAGCTAATTTTTTGTATTTTTAGTAGAGACAGGCTTTCACCATGTTGGCCAGGCTGGTCTCAAACTCCTGACCTCATAATCCACTCACCTCGGCCTCCCAAAGTGCTGGGATTACAGGTGTGAACCACCATGCCTGGCCTGACCAGTTAAATTCTATTTATTCTTCAAGCCTCAGCTTCGATCTTCAATATCACATCCTCAGAATATTCCTAGGATCTAAATTCTTAGCTCCACCCTGTTATTTGCTCTCATGAGATTTTTGTTCTTTTCTTTCATATTATATATGGCATTTTAATCATATTTGTCTAATTTAAGCTCCATTGAAGGCAGGGACCTTGGCTTAACTATTATGTCCCCATCACCTAACTCAGTGCCTCACACAAATATTACAAATATACTAAAATATTATAAATATATAAATATTTGGCCGGGCGCGGTGGCTCAAGCCTGTAATCCCAGCACTTTGGGAGGCTGAGGTGGGTGGATCACGAGGTCAAGAGATCGAGACCATCCTGGTCAACATGGTGAAACCCCGTCTCTACTAAAAATACAAAAAATTAGCTGGGCATGGTGGCACGTGCCTGTAATCCCAGCTACTCAGGAGGCTGAGGCAGGAGAATTGCCTGAACCCAGGAGGCAGAGGTTGCGGTGAGCCGAGATCGCGCCATTGCACTCCAGCCTGGGTAGTAAGAGTGGAACTCTGTCTCAAAAAAAAAAAAAAAATAATAATAATTATATATATATATATATATTTGAAATATCTGATGATTGAATGACTTCACCAATTAATTTTACCTCACTGATCTAAACATGAGGCTTTTTTTTTTTTTTTTAACTTTCCCTTTCTGGGCCCAGAGAATATGCTGGTCTTGCACCTAAGTCCTTAAGGGATTTAAAGTCAAGGCAGTATCTGAAGTATTGAGGCTAATCAGAAAATGCATCTTGATTGAGATGAGCTCTGAGATGTGCTAAACAGCCTATGACTAGGAAGACTAGGGCTGACTCAAAAGCACAGGGAAATAAAGAAACTACAGACAGCCCCCAAGTTATGATTTTTTGACTTTACTATGGTGTAGAAGCAATATGCATTCAGTGGAAACTGTACTTCAGCTACCTATGCAACCATTCTGTGTCTCACTTTCAGTACATGAGATATTCAACACCTTATTATGAAGTTGGATTTGTCTTAGATGACTTTGCCCAGCTGTAGGCTAAGGTGAGCATTTTGAGCACATTTAAGTTAGGTTTGGCTAAACTATGATGTTTGGTAGGTTAGGTTTATTAAATGCATTTTTGACTTGATATTTTCAACTGACGGTAGATTAATTGGGGGTCAGGGAGCATCTGTAATAAAGGCAGGAGACTATAAGCAAATTAGCTTGTCTGGACTGGAGGCTGTATAAGCTTGGTTGAAATGGTGGTGTTGGAGACAGCTGATAAAAACCTTTGGGTTCCTGGCTGATGACTTTAGTTTTAATAAAATAGACCTAAGGAGCTGTTGATGATTGAGCTGGAGAGTGACCTCATGAGAACAGAATTTGAGAAAGATTATGCTAACAGCTGAGGATTATGTGCATTGGAGGAGAAAAAGACTAGGGGCTGGGAATGCAGCAGAGAGGCTGCCAGGGAGTCTGGGCAACTCTAAATGTTCACTATTCTAGGATCCTAGATGGTTGAATCTGAAAAAGATAGAAAATTTAAACAGTTTTGAGTTACTGATTTAAAATGAGAAATATTCTTATCCAATTCCTTGTCCTGAAGGCATTCAAATTCTAACCAGAGGCTGCTTGCTGAGTACAGACTTAGAACAAAAAGGGTAAATTTAATGATCTTAGTGGCTATTGTCTCTTTTTTTCTCAGAAGTGATGTATATACTTGACTACTAGATAAAAAATATCTATAGTGCCTGGAGTGGATGGCCACCAAATAATAGGTTCTTTGCTTCTCTCTTTTCTAACTAGGTTCTAAGCAGCCTAATTTTTCTCTGGGTAAATTACAGAGCAATGTATTAAACACAGATTGATTATATTTTAGTATTGAGTATCCACCATAGTTGCCTTGATAGACTTTGTTTGTGTTACAGATATGTGATTTGGGAGATAGAGGCTGATCTAGGTTTAAACCAGACTGAGTTTGGAGAGCCTCAGATGAAAAATATCCAAAGGTTAATTGAAAACGTGAAGCTTGGCCAGGTGCAGTAGCTCACGCCTGTTATCCTAGCACTTTGGAAGCCCAAGGCAGGAGGCTCACTTGAGGCCAGGACAGCCTGGGCAACAAAGCGAGACCCTAATTTATTTAAAAAAATAAAAAATTAGCAGGGCCATCTCTTTCATCAATGTTTCCTTGCTTCCTTGTCCCCTTGGACGCTAGGCTTCTTTCTCAGAGAGAACCCCTGTGTCAGTTCTGCCAGCTCTCACTGCTGTCTTAGAGTCCTGCATTCTAGTCTCAGGTTGGTCATCACTCAGTATGACGTTGGGCAAGTCACCCATTTCTCTCTGGACCTCTGAAGTCCCTTGTAGCTGTTAGCATATCTGGGATGATGCAGTTTGGATAACTGGTGAGGATTCCAACTTACTCTCTGCTGCTTTGTGTACCAAACACCAGCTATCCTGCCCTCTGCTTTAGATCCCTAGGTAGACTCTAACCCACCTTAGGCAGGGCCCCTCCCAGCACCTTTTAACAGGATTCAGCTCACACATATGTCACTAGACAGCACTGCCTTGAGTGCAGCACAGAAATGAGCTTCAACCATTTAAACAATTGAGCAATGAGGCCAACATATAGCATTCTCCACCTATGCTAAAGCAGCCAAGGAAATGAAGTTTGAGGGGATGATTTAAATTGTTGGCAGGGCACCGTGGCTCATACTGTAATCCCAGCACTTTGGGAGGCCAAGGCAGGTGGATCACTTGAGGTCAGGAGTTCAAGAACAGCCTGACCAACATGGTGAAACACTGTCTCCACTAAAAATACAAAAATTAGCTGGGCATGGTGGTGGGCACCTGTAATCCCAGCTACTCAGGAAGCTGAGGCAGGAGAATAGCTTGAATCTGGGAGGCAGAGTTTGCAGTGAGCTGAGATTGCACCATGGCATTCCAGCCTGGGCAATGGAGTGAGACTCTGTCTCAAAAAATAAATAAATAAAAATAAAGTGTTGCGAGAGCTAGTTTTACTGTGGTCCTTGAACTTCGATTTTTAGATACCTTTCCCCTCCTTTTCTGCTTTCATCTTTGGTGTTTGGGCCCTTATGGGTTATTGAGCCTTCAGGTTATTCATTGCTTTTTTTCTCCCTCCTTTGTGGGAAGGGATCTAATATACAGAGGATTGGGTTAATCATTCTCTTGATTTATGGCTTCTTTCTTTAGTGGTCCATGCAAGACATTTCTTGTTTAATTACTTATTTATTTTCTTTTATTTCATTGCCCTGTCCATCCAAACCACACCCACTATAGGCAATTATTGAATATTTTTAATGTGTATTTTTTTGTTTATATGTGTTCTTGGATAATGGGTAATGTGTGAATTATTTAGTATGTGTGAATTATTTAAAATTTTAATAATATTTAGCTCAATACACCCAAAATGTTATCAACATGCCATCAATATGAGATATGTTACAGTCTTTTTTTTTTTTTTGAGACAGTTTTGCTTTGTCACCCAGGCTGGAATGCAGTGGCTCGATCTCAGCTCATGGCAATCTCTGCCTCCTGGGTTCAAGTGATTTTCCTGCCTCAGCCTCCTGAGTAGCTGGGATTACAGGTATGTGCCACCATGTCCAACTAGTTTTTGCATCTTTAGTAGAGATGGGGTTTCACCATGTTGGCCAGGCTGGTCTTGAACTCCTGAGCTGAAGTGATCCATCTGCCTTGGCCTCCTAAAGTTCTGGGAATACAGGCACCGCGCCTTGCCCACATTCTTTTTTTGTACTTCAAAATCCAATATGTATTTTACTGTTATAGCATATCTCAATTTGGATGGTAAATTTTCATTAGAAATACTTAATCTGTATTTAGATTACATAAAATGCACAGTTCAAAAAGTAGATTCATATACCTAAGTTGTTCCAAGCATACTTAAAAGTTTCCTAATAATCAAGTATCAAAAAAAGTATTTTTCTTTAATGTTTGCATGCAAACTGACAAAACTACTTCATTTAGCTGTATTAGTCATATTGTCATATTTATTTTAGCAGAATTGACTTGACTTTGAAGCAAAAACATATCAGTTTTGAAACTACATCTGTCCAGGTTAAGTAAATTCACTAACTCTTGTGTCAATTCAGCATTATTAACTTGAAATTCAAAGAGATATTGTGTAAATTGAAAAAGCAACTCTAAATATATAAATATTAACAAAAAGCAACTCTAAATTTATTAATATCAACAAAGCATTCTTTAAACTTTACTTGTTTTTGTAGCTAATTTACATAATACTGTTTATTACAATTAGAATCTTCTGCATATTTATGTTGAAAGAATGTGTATTGATGTGTATTATGAAAGGTTTCAACTTTAGCATAAATTTTTTTTTGCTGCAAAAGGTATAGCATAAATTCTTGTACCTCTCTAGATAAGTCAGAGATGTTTTCTTTCCTGAAGCTTAAATTTATGTATTTATTTACTTGTAGACAAAGTCTCATTCTGTTGCCCAGGCTGGAGTGCAGTGGCATAATCTTGGTTTACTGCAGATGCCACCTCCCTAGTTCAGGCAATTCTCCTGCCTCAGCCTCCTGAGTAGCTGGGATTACAGGCACGCGCCACCACACCCAGCTAATTTTTGTATTTTTAGTAGAGAGAGAGTTTCACCATGTCAGTCAGGCTGGTCTTGAACTCCTGACCTCAAGTAATCTGCCTACCTCAGCCTCCCAAAGTGCTGGAAATACCTAACTAAAACATTTCTACTTCTATCCTTCATATCTCTTTTTAAAAATTGTCAATTAAATATAAACGTACTATCCTCCAGTTTTTCTTTTATGTTTTCTATTTCTTTGCCTTCTTTTTTTCCTTCTGGGGGATACTCTCTCTTGTGTTTTTAATTCCCTAATTGTTTCCCAGCTGTATGGATTCTACCAATTTTGAAATCTATTGTGTGCTCTATTTTGGCGACTAATTTTTCATACATAACATATCTGCTTGTTTTTTAAAAAATGTCATCTATTATACTTTTATAGTTGATATTCTGTTTGTTCTTTACATTTTCTTGTCCTGGTGTCATATTAGTAATATTTTCCTTTATCTCTTTTAGCATGATTTTGGGGCTACTTTTATTTTCATTTTTTTAGATTTTGTTGGGGCTACTTTTAAAATCTTGGTCCATCTGTTGTCATATTGCCACTTAAGGTACACTGTGTAATCGAGTAAGTTGTATGCTTTTGGATTAGGTGCCTTGCTATTTTGTCCTTGGCCATGTAGGTTGTTCTGTCCAACAATACAAACTAGTGCCATTGAGCTTAGAAGTTGAAGGTTGGGGGTGAATGAGCCCTAAAACTGAGAGCCCTAGGCCCCAAAGTCTCACATCAGTCAGGCTCAGCCTCATAAAATAACTCTTCATGTCAGGGCTTCACCCTTTGCCCTCCAGCCAGGGAAAAGCGGCTTTAGGAGTACAGGCGTGAGCCACTGTGCCTGGCTGAAACACTTTGTAGGTTGTAATTCACCTGCCCTGGAAATTTAGAGGTTTAACAGTTTTCTAATAAGGGTTAAGGAGGAGAATATCTATCTAGAGTTGGGTTGCCTCCGTAGCTGTTTTTATCACAAGCACAGTGTATCTCCAGTGCTTTGCTGTTACTCTTACCAACACCTGGACCACAATTTCAGTCATGGCAAGTGAGGGAGTAGCACTGTTTGTTATAAGACAGTGGTGGAAGAAAAGAAATCAGAACCCTGACAGCTCCTTTTCTTTTTTAATCATTCCACAGCTGTGCCTGGCCACTTCCTGCCCCTACTCAAAGCTACCCCTCTACCACACACACACCAATTCAAAACAAGGCCCTCTCCTTGGGGTTTCTCGAGAGATTTCTTGGGGTTTCTTCATTTCTTGTATTTTCTCTCTGTAATTCTTCTGCAGGTGATCTTGGGATGGGGAGCCACAGTCACAGTAGTTCAATAAGGATCCAAGCTTAAAGATCTTCAGTATTTGCTCTGTGCTAGACACTGTTCTATGTGTGCCACCTGTATTAACTCATTTAATCCTCACAACTACCTTGTGTAGTTATATTAACAGCCCTATTTTACCGATGAGAAAACTGAGGCATAAAGAAGTTAAAAAATAGCCAGATGTGAGGTGTGGTAGTACATACCTGTAGTCTCAGCTACTTGAGAGACTGAGACGTGAGAATCACTCGAACCCGGGAAATGAAGGCTGCAATGAACTATGATTCACTGCTGTACTCCAGCCTGGGTGACAAAGTGAGACCCTGCCCTCCCACAAAAAAAATGTTAACTAAGCCAGGACTCTAAACGAGGCAGTCTGATTCATGAGTCACCCTTAACTTCTGCCTTGCAGTAAAACCCAAATTATCCAGTACTCTATCTGGGGACAATTGACATAGTGTTGGCCAGGGCATTGCCCCATGATGTCCAGGCTTATGAGACATTGGTCAGAGGAGAGAGAGAGAGGGTGACAGGAACAAAGCATTAAGAGCCAGCTGGCTGTCAGTAGCATTTGATCCCAGGCAGGAGATTCTAATTCTAAGCAGGACACAGACAGGCTCTGTGTGGTTAGAGATGAAGGGAGGAGGAGTAGGAGGAGTGAGTGTTTGCAAGCTCAGCCCACATGAGGGCTGATGTCAGTCCTCTTTTGTGCATTTGTGTTCGAATTTGATGTCTGATGTAAACCAGTTGGTGTTAAATTCTGTCCTGCGTTTTCAATCCCCTGAATTGGGAGTCCCTCATGGGAGCATTTGGGTGGGCCTCAGCAGCTCTGGCTCAGGAACCACCAGATGCTTCCTAGAGAAAGTTGTTCGGCTGCCAGTACCTACTGCCACACTTGCCTCTTCACACTTCTACATCTCCTTCTTTCCTTTGCTCGGATGGGTCAACACATATTGTAGGGCAAGCCCGTGTCATAGGACCTGTAAGGATACTCTCGATTGGTAAGATTTGAAGGTGAAAGTCACTGACCATGAAACAGAATGAAGACCACAAGAAGGTGGAAGCTTGGACTCTAGTTACTGGGCTCCAATGAACCGTGGCGTCATGAATTTTAGTAAAAACAAGGCCAGGGGTTGATGTCTTGCTTCTTCATGCCTGGCTCTTTCCCTGAAGCCACAGCTCTCCTCCAGTTGTTTCTGAAGTGCCAGGCACTTTTTTTCGCGGGAGCTGCTGAAAACAAATCAGAAACTGATTTGAGGAGCATCTCCTCCCCTGATGGGGCACCTGTGGCCTAAGGTTTCAAGTGATTGGATGCCTTCTCTGAGTGTTCTCCGTCAGGCAGGCGGCCTGGCCCTAGAGACATGCCATATGCTTTTGGAGCCACAAATATTTCACACCATGAGCTCCCAGCTGCTGCCCTTCCCCCCTCTTCCATTCCTTTCCACCTCTTCCTCATTCCTAATCCCATACCTTAAAATCCCTTTAGCTACTGTCACCTTACCTTGCCCCTTTCTCATGTGGACCTCACTCTGGAAGTTCCAGATCTGGGAAGCCTTAATGCACTTCTAGCTTCAACCTGCTTGGCAAACGAAAGTAAAATGAACGTCTGTGAATGTTTCTTACATGGCGGAGGTTGTTTGCAGTGCCTTACGTTATTTCATACAAACCTCATGACAACTTGAAAAGGAAATGTTTATTCTCAGAGGTCCTGAGGCTACTCAGGCTTAGATTAGGAAGTGCCAAAACCAGGCTTCAGACCCATCACTGTCTACCTCCAGAGTCCACAGTCTTTGTATGATTTTTGGATGTCTCCAGAGCCCCATTCAGCTTTCTCAGCTTTCTAACCTCATAGCTCTGTTCCCATGCAGAATCGGTATTTCGCTTCTTGGAGTTCAGAAAAGAAAGAGGGGGTGGGGAGGAAATAAAGGAAGAAAAGAAAAGAACAACCTTTCAGCTTTTTTTTTTTTTTAAGGAGAATACATCTTTGTAGCATAACTATAATAATAACATAACAATAACTTAATTTGTTGTGTGTGCATGTGTGTTTTAACTGGAAGGGGGCATGTGTCATTCAGTGATTATTTAAAAAAATGTTAAGCCAGCTGGGCGCGGTGGCTCATGCCTATAATCCCAGCACTTTGGGAGGCCGAGGCAGGTGGATCACGAGGTCAAGAGATCGAGACCATCCTGGTCAACAAGGTGAAACCCCGTCTCTACTAAAAATACAAAAAATTAGCTGGGCATGGTGGCGCGTGCCTGTAGTCCCAGCTATTTGAGAGGCTGAGGCAGGAGAGTTGCTTGAACCCAGGAGGCGGAGGTTGTGGTGAACCGAGATCGCGCCATTGCACTCCAGCCTGGGTAACAAGAGCGAAACTCCATCTCAAAAAAAAAAAAAGTTAAGCCATGGAACCATTAGAAAATGATACCATGAAATACAATAAAGACCATAAGAAGGTGGAAGCTCAGACTCCAGTTACTGGGTGGTGGTGACTGAAGTGATGGTGGTGGAAGGAGCTCCAAGGCCTGGCCTTTCTATGTCCCTTGCAGACAGAAGCATGTCAGTGGAGTCTCAGGATTCTGTTGAACATGGTGGGAAAGCTCCTGATTATTTTTCCTTTTAAAATAAGCCAGCTGAGGCCCAGAGAGGGGAAGTGGCTGGCAAAGTCAGGACTAGTGCCTGAGTCTCCCAGCTTCTATCCTTCAGCTTTTTACAGAAATCTCAGGTTGTATATTTTTGCACAAACTCTGCAGGATGCGGTCCAGGGAGGGATGCAGGTGGAGGCAGAGAGGGTGGAGGGCCTGGGCTTCCTCTTTTTCTCCTTCCTCATCACCAACAACCTAAACTCCCAAACCACATGGGGAATGAGGTAGGTCAGGGAGAGGACTGACAGGGATTACAGAAGAGTTCAAGTGAAGGTACAAGGGATCAAGTTTGGTAGCTGACAAGGAAGAGAGGTGAGGTAGAAGATGAGGGGAGGTGGTGAGGTAAACAGAGCAAAGAAGCTGCCCTTGCAGTTCAGGACCAGGGCTGAACTAGAGTCTGGGCCCTGGTCTTGTTCTAGTTCCCTTTGAGCAAGTCCTGGCCCTTTTTCCTGTCTGTTTCCTTTGAAGGCTTCTATGCCACCACCAGTGAGCATGTACAGGCTACAGGAGAAGCAGTGAAAAGCAGGGTGCTACAGAGAGCACTGCACCCTGGGAACCAGAATTAGCTGGCCCAGCTCTGCCTATAAGTAGCTGAATGTCTTGAGACAACTTAAATGTTTCCCTGGACCTTAGCTTCCTTGTCTGTAAAACAGGATGGGACCACATGACCTCTAAGGATCCTTCTGGCTCTGAAAGCAATGATCTGGGGCATGAAGCCTGTGGTTAGAGAGCTGGGGAATGGGCAGGTGTGGGCTCCAGGGCATCCAGCATTGCAGGCTTAGCAGCTAACAGCAACCGGGTGTTCTGTGGTCTAGCAATCTTATTTTATAGGTGAGGAGACTGGCCCTAGAAAGGCAAAGTGATTTTTTTTGCTTCTCTCAGCTTTATTCCCGTTTTTCCTCTGAACTGGAGTCTAAAGATTCAGCACATAGCAGTTTTGTGTAGTGGATACATACACATTTTTGTTGTTAGTTTTCTGAATGTTTGACTTTCAAAGTTTTTTTTACATAAACAGTAAATGCTCGTTATGAAAATTTCCATTAATACAGGAAGTGAAAAAGTAAAAAACTGTGAAGTGCTGTTATCCTCCCACCTTGCCCACTGGGTCCCCAGAGGTGTCTCTGTAAACAGTTCAGTGTGTATCCATCCTGACCTTTCCAGTGAATGCACAAACTTGTATGCCCTTCCCCCACAACTGGATTATCATATACATTATTCAAGCATAAACTTTGGAATCAGACATACCTAGAGTCTAATCCCAGCTCATAGCTAATTATTTGCATGACCTTGGCTAAAGTTATTCAACCAGTTTTAGATTCAATCTCCCCAAGTGTAAAATGAAAATAATAATAGTATCCACCTGGCCCGAAGTGGCAGTTTACACCTGTAATCCCAGCATTTTGGAAGGCCGAGGCTGGTGGATCGCTTGAGCTCAGGAGTTCAGGACCAACCTGGGCAATTTAGCAATACCTCATCTCTACTAAAAACAAACAAAAAATACCCCCAAAATTAGCTGGGTGTGGTGGTGCCCACCTGTAGTCCCAGCTACTCGGAAGGCTGAGGTGGGAGAATTGCTTGAGCCAGGAAAGGAGAGGCTTCAGTGAGCAGTGATTGCACCACTGCACTCTCACCTGGGCAACAGAGCGAGACCTTGTGTCTGTTAAAACAAGCAAACAGGGCTGGGCATGGTGGCTCACATCTGAAATCCCACCGCTTTGGGAGGCTGAAGCGGGTGGATCATGAGGTCAAGAGACTGAGACCATCCTAGTCAACATGGTGAAACCCTGTCTCTACTAAAAATACAAAGGTTAGCTGGGCATGGTGGCATGTGCCAGTAGTCCCAGTGCCTCAGGAGGCTGAGGCAGGAGAATTGCTTGAACCCAGGAGGCAGAGGTTGCGGTGAGCCGAGATTGCATCATTGCATTCCAGTCTGGGCAACAAGAGTGAAACTCCGTCTAAAAAAAAAACACAATAACAGCAAGCAAACAAAATAGTATCTACCTTATAGGATCGTGGTAAAGATTTAATGAGATTTCATATGAATAGCACTTAATACCAGTAGCGCTGGTACTGGTAGTAGTAAGCACTACACACACATACCCACACACACACACCGACACACACAGAGCACAGAATGAGTTAGACATAGAGTGAAAACTAGACCCCAAGTTTTCTGACTCTCAGTCTCCTTGACTTTCTACCACACCTCTCTGCTTCTCTCCTAGGTGCCTAGGCATGGGTTAAAGGCTCACTACTCGTTGAATGAATGATTGAGGTGGTGGGGGTGGGGTAGATCTAGGGATCTGAGGTCTGTGGAGTTTCTGGGATGCCTGCTCTGGAAAATGGAGGCTTTCTCCCTGTGAGTTGTGGGGTGTGGGGCAGTGTGGGTTGTCTGGACCAGCTGTTGCTTCAGAGCTCCATGCCTGGAGAGTTGGGCCTCTGGGCAGAGCTGAGGGCCCAGAGTGGCTCTCAGCTTAAAGGATCTTGGCTTAGAAGGAATGCACAGTGGGCTCCCTCTGCTCAGGAGGGGCTAAAAAAAGCCTCACCCTCCCCTGGGCTTTGTGTGAGGGTTATCAACTGCTCAAGTCAGCTCATCTGTCTGGCTGCTCTGGCATATTTGAGAAGGTCTGTTTTCCTGGTCCTTCTGGGTTTCCACCAATTGGCAGGAAGAGATCAGCCTGTTCTAGAGGTGAAGAGAGAGGTGTGGGGTGAAGGGGAGGGGGCTGGTGGCCCCAAACCTGGTGACAATACACAGTTGTCAGCTGCACCCTGCTGGCGTTTCTTCCTTTTATAGTCAGCAGCAGTTGCTCTTGCTGTCACCCAGCCCCTCTGTGGGGGCTCCTGCGCAGGATAAAAGGGAAGGGAGGCGGCCCAGGCTCCTATCTCGTCTCCCAGATGCCACGTCTCTTGGTTTCTTCTTAGATCACTCCTCTGACAAAGATCCCAACAAGACAACATGGCTCCCAAGAAGCCTGAGCCTAAGAAGGAGGCCGCCAAGACAGCTCCAGCTCCAGCCCCTGTGCCAGCCCCTGCTCCAGCTCCTGAGCCTCCCAAGGAACCTGCTTTTGACCCCAAGAGTGTAAAGGTAAGTGAGGCTCAGGCATTGGGATGGATGTGGGATGACATTCAGAGTCCTTTTTCTCTGGAGTTTAGAGATCTACTTCACGTGGGCTGGACTGGGATGAGGACTAGGGCGTCCATGCCACAGGTGACAGTCCCATGGGGCAGTGGGGAGGGTGTTGGGGCTGAGGAGGGGGATATTGGGCCATAAACCTTTTCCATCAATAATGAGGTGCTGCTCTGAGGGAGACCTGTTCTGCTACCCTAGATTTGTGCACCTAAGCTGGGAATGGGGTCGGGGGGAGGTACAACCAACCACCCTTCCACCCTTTTTTAAGGCATTGTGAGGACCACCATAGCAATGTAAAAGAGACTAGCTAGCCTTTTCCTAGGAGGTAGTGGGATGTCTTTATGGAGAACAGACACATCATGGCAGCTGCCAGTGTAGCTTGGAGTAAGTGATATAAGCAGTCAGGGAATGTCCTGCCTGTTCACAGAGGACAAACACTCTTATGGCAGGTGAGGGCAGGGTGGAAAGGAGGTTGTGGTTAAGGTAAGAGGAGCCTGGATTCCTCTCTTTCTGTTTCCTTAGCCTGGGTTCCTATCTGTAGCATACAGAGGACTGGCCCACCCCAGGCTGAGACCCTCTCTCCAGTCTTGTCAGGAATTGGGCCTGGTTCCTCTGCCCCACCCTGCTCTCCTCACACAAAACATTCCTCTCTCTGGAGCTGGTGTGGGCTCTGCCTGCTGACTCAGTCATTTTAGACCTCCCACCTCTCTGGCCCAGCTGCTAAAGGAATGGAACTGGGGGGAGAGGGGTGAGCTGAAGAGGGAGGGGCCAGAGACCTCTGGAGAGGAGCAGTTTTAAGCCTTGGCACCAGAATGGGAGAGGTCAAGTGGCTACTGGTATGAAGAGCTATTAATAACAGGTTGTGAGTGCTGAGCCCCCAGGGATCTCAGCCTTAGGATAGGGCTGGGGGTGGCAAAGGATCAGGTCAAAATAAGAGCACAGGACCAGGTTCTGTGACAAGCAGGCAGGGAAACCAAAATCCAGAGCCCTAATCGTATGACCTCTCTACCCTCTGAGGATTCCTCCTGTACCCGAAGCTGGGGATACCCTATAATTATTATGTCAAAGACCTAGTCCCCATAAGGGGCAGGAGTTAGGTGGAACTGCTTGGCCAAGAGATGGAAGCAATTGCTCCATTTCTGAGCTTGGTTATGGCTCATTCTGGGGAAACTGAGGCTACTGGTTGACCCTGAAAGCACCTGCTGGTTTTCTAGGTCATACGTCACCTCCCTCTACAAGCTGAGCCTTGCAGGAAAAGCTGACTGTTTCTCCCTTCAGGATCCCTCCTCACCTTGATTTCTGATTTGTTCCGATAAAGACTGTGCCTTTGGGTGGGTTGCCAGGCCTGGTCTCTGGTGTCTGGGCAATAGTTGCCTAGTGGAATTAGACTGGTGTCCTTCCCTTGGCCTGTTACTTCTTTCATTCACTCTCCTCTCCCAACTTTTCACCTGTGACAAATTGTACCCCTGGTTGCAATCCTCTTTTCCCCATCTGTGTCTTCATAGGGTCTGTTGGGGGGTGCTGAAGTTGCTTTGAAGTAGAAAAAAAAAAAGGTATCATTTATGAGAGCCATTTTCCCTATTATTGTGTTATACTTTTCCAGTTCCTTTGATTAGAAGGTTCTTTGCTCTAAGATAGAGCAGAAGGCAGGTGAGGTGACTCATGCCTATATGAGGCCAAGGTGGGAGGGTTATTTCAGGCTAGGCATTTGAGTCCAACCCGGGCAATATGGCAAGACCCTTGTCTCTACAAATAAACAAATTAATTATAAAAAAGATTCCAAGATAGAAGAGAAGCAAACTAAAGCCCGATATGTATAGTTATGACCATCTATTGAGATTTTATGTTTTTACATTAGTTGCTCTTACATGTTTATTCTTGGTACTTAAAGCATTGCAAAGTAAAGCAAATGGTTCCTTTTCCTCAGAGATTAAGTGCAGAGCAGGCTTCACTCCATCTAGGGGGTTCCTTTAACTTTCTGACCACCCCTACTTTTGGCAAAGTCTATTCCTGGCCACAGCTAGTTTTCTTTCCAACCCAGTTAACTCCCCACTGCCCCAACCCATCCCCAGCTCATGGCTGCCACCTCTGTGTCCTCGTGAATGGAGATTGGTTCTCGGAGATGAGGGGACAGGATGGGTGCAGCACAAGAGCAGCAGAATTAGGACTAGGAATGACGGCACTTGAAGAAGAGGCTCCAGGATTGGTTACCACCACCACCAGTAGAGAGGGGATGGGATGGGATGGGGTGGGGTAGGGGTAGGGTGCATAAGGACCACAAGGTAACATACAGAATTTTAAATTAAAATGACTTGGGCCTGGTGTGGTGGCTCACACATTTAATCCCAGTCCTTTGGGAGGCCAAGGCAGGTGGATCACGTGAGGTCAGGAGTTTGAGACCAGCCCGGTCAACTCAGTGAAACCCCATCTCTACTAAAAATACAAAAATTAGAGGGTGTGGTGGTGGATACCTGTAATCCCAGCTACTGAGGCAGGAGAATCGCTTGAACCCAGGAGGCAGAGGTCACAGTAAGCCAAGATCATGCCATTGCACTCCAGCCTGGGTGACAAGGGTGAAACTCCATTTCAAGAAAAAAGTAAAAATAAAATGATGACTCTTGCTTGGGCATTGTCATTCACTCTCCTCTTCTGTACTCAGCATTGAATTATTATGCATTATGAGGGGGAAATTGAAAATGTATCACTTCATTCAACAAATATTTTTTGAGTGCCTACTATGTGCTGAGCATTTCAGTGAACAAGAACAAGAATCTTCACCTGAGTGAATGGTGGCTTCAAGGAGACAGAGTGCACGTAAAGGCATGACTGCACGCAATTAAGAAGCGTGGAGGGCCCATGCCAATTACTCTTTCTGTCCCAGAGTGCCTAAGAGTGTGTCAGAAGACAAAAGTACAACACATTTAGTTTAAAGATCCTGACTGGTTTTTATGTTTGAGTCCAGAATCTGGCAACAATGAGCTGAGCAGAGGAGGTGATATAGACAAAGAAGAGCTGAGGAAAGCAGAGACTAAGAGCAAAATGCAAATTGGTCATTGCAAAGTTACTTTCCTTGTAAAGGTTAAAGCAGACGGCACTTTCTTATCATGCTGGCTAAAACTGTCCTGTTTGGGGATTTGGCTATTATCTCTCATTTTCCTGATTTCTTGGAAAATTAGATGAACAACTTAGTTTTGGTTTGGTGACCTGGAACTTCAGCACCAGTGAATTTATTTTGGTTTGGTCTGTTGGGCCTAGTGTAGGAGCTCAGTACAAACCAATGGTGTCTTACAAATTGTACTTAATGAGGGACATGTGCTGAAGGAGGGGTTGGAGTGGGATGGTGTATGGGAAGCCTTCATTGAAGGGAGTGGATTTAAATCAGAATCAAATAGAAACAGGAGTCAGAGGATGGGGAGTGGTGTCCCCAAAGGGGGCAGAAGTACAGCATGTCAGAGGACTATGGACTAGGAAGAGATTGAAGGGCAACAGTGAGGGCAGTTTGTGAATGGCTAGGATGAAGAATTTACCTTTGCTGCAAAGGCATTGCAATAGGGACTCAGTGTAGGTTCTAGAATTATCCAGGGAATTTCTCCTTTCCTTTCCCTCTTACCTGGAGTCATCACTTAACAAGTGGTTTTGAGAGAGCTTTAGAGTCTCCATTAGAGTTGTCCCTCAGTATCTGTAGGGGATTGGTTCTAGGACCCCCACAGATACCAAAATCTGAGGATGCTCAAGTCTCCTATATAAAGTTTGCATATTTGCATATGTAATCTATGCACAGTCTCCTGTATACTTTAAATCATCTCTAGGTTACTTATAATACTTAGTATATTGTAAATACTATGTGATAGTTCTTATGTTATGTATTTTTTGTATTATGTTTTATTGTGTGGTTATTTATTGTTTGAGTATTATCAATCCAGGGTTGGTTGAACCTGGGGATGCAGAACCCATGGATACAGAGGGTTGATTGTATTTCGTAGCCTGTCAGTTGTGGCTCATTCATCAAGAGACTGGTGTTTTACCCTTAGTACCACCTTCAGCAGGCCACTGATAAGTGGGAAAGGAGACAGTTCTCCTTTCCCACTTATCAGTGGCCTGCTGAAGGTGGCCAGACTGTAGTGAAAGCCACTTCTGCTTCTGTGTCCCTTTGGGAGCCTTTACAATTGCTTTTAGCAATCTCAGCCCTCACTCCTATTTCCCTCCCTACAGATAGACTTCACTGCTGACCAGATTGAAGGTGAGTATGGACAACCCCACCTCTCCGTCTTTATTGCACTTTCCTGGAGGAGGAAGAAGAGGAGGAGGAGTTGTTGTTCTCATGGTAATAGTAGTCACTGTCATCATCATCATAGCAAACCTATATTGAGCATCTACTATGTGTTAGGCACAGTCCTAAGCACTTTCTGTGGATTGACTCCTTTAATTCTCATAACAACACCGTGATGTAGCAATTGTTACCTCCTCCAGTTTAAAAGTGATAAAACTGAGACACAGAGAGATGGGGTGACTTGTCCAGTCTCACATGGCAGTTAGCAGTAGAACTAGGATTCAAACTCAGGCAATCTGATTTTGGACCTGTGTTCTCAACTACTCTGCCAGACTGCTTGGAGCATAATAGATGCTCAACAAAAGTGAGTGCCTTTTTTCTCCATCCCAGAGATCTAAGATATTTGGAAGCCTTATTTCTGTTCCTGTTATTGGAAAGCCCTCCTTAGTTGACCAGCTTCCCCTCCTCCCATGATGAAGTCTGCCAAGATGCTAACCCACTAATGGTGGCAAGGACAACAAAATGTTTTATCATGTGATGCTACGTGTCCCCAGATGTAAAGCAGGACTCACTGTCATTGCAGTATCCCTCTGTTTTCCCCACCAAATGCCTCCAGGATATAAAATTATAGGCATTAGAAGGAACCCTGAAAAATCACCTAATCCAAACCCCTCATTTGAAGCACATACTCTCTTTTAAAAATTAAATGAATACTTACACATGGTAAAAAAAAAAACAAAGCATACACATATTACTTAAAAGTAAATAATAAAAAATAAAAGTCCTTTTTTTTCATGCTGATGCCTCTCCCAAAGACAACAACTGTGAACAGGTGTTTATGTATCCCTTCAGAAGTATATATAATGATACACAAGTTTATGTGTATGTATGATGAATATATAAAGTTTATACAAATCAAGTCATGTGACACACACCATCCACCTTTTATTAAACATATACTTGGATTTAATATAAATGATTCACTAATATACATTATTTGGATATCTTTTCACAATTAACACAAACAGTTCTACTTTATTCTTTTAAACAATTATATAGACTCTCACACATAGATTCATCCTTTTAATTTAATCAGAACTATATTGATAGAATTTCAGATTGTTTCCATTTGAAGGGGATCAGCTTGCTTTCCCCAGGTGACCTTCCTAGCAGTGGTTAAAGGATGGTGCATTGGCTGGGCGCGGTGGCTCACGCCTGTAATCCCAGCACTTTGGGAGGCCGAGGCGGGTGGATCACGAGGTCAAGAGATCGAGACTATGCTGGTCAACATGGTGAAACCCCATCTCTACTAAAAATACAAAAAATTAGCTGGTCATGGTGGCGCGTGCCTGTAATCCCAGTTACTCAGGAGGCTGAGGCAGGAGAATTGCCTGAACCCAGGAGGCGGAGGTTGCGGTGAGCCGGGATCGCACCATTGCACTCCAGCCTGAGTAACAAGAGCGAAACTCCGTCTCAAAAAAAAAAAAAAAAAAAAAAAAAAAAGGATGGTGCATTTTAAATTATAGTGGTTATTGCCAGGTTGCTCTCTAAAAAAGTGACACCAGTTTACCCACAAATACAACATGAAAGCTGGCATTTAGAAACTAGTGAATTGAGCCTGACTTTGTTTTTATAATACTCAGTGGATACTCACTTGCAGTCAGTAGTTTCAGGGATGCTGTGAAATTCTTAAAATCAATTTTAATGCGTTTTAGTTTCATATATACTTATGTGGATATAAAAACACAATGACACTAGTGAGGACTTGAAAATCAATTGATGATTTAAAATCTTTATTTCTCAAATGGCCAACTGGAACAGATGGTTGTCTCTTCTCTTCTAAAGATTTTCAGGGCTGATAGGGAGGGGATAACTCATTCTGATCTTTTATCCCTCCAACCTTGAAGACATTTTTTCTACTGTTGAATCAGAATTGTTTTTCCTTCAATTTTACCCCAGCAATCTTTTCATTTGTTTTTTTGGTGAAGCTGATAATGATTTTCTCATGTTACAGTGGAAAGAACATAATTTGGAATTAGGAGACTTTTGTATTAGCCCTAATTCTGCCACTATTGGCCATGAGACTTTGGACAAGTCACTTCTTTAAATCTTAATTTTCTTATCTACAAAGTGAAGATATTTGGTTTCCAATTCAGAAATTCTGGTCCATTCAGCATCCTCTAGATATCCTCCATCTATTTGGAGATAGTTTTCAAATCCCTCCTAAGATTTATATTTTCTAGGTGATATGCCCCAATTTACTTAATTATATTATTTTATTTTGAGACAAAGTCTCGCTCTGTCACCTAGGCTGGTGTGCAATGGTGCCAACATAGCCCACTGTAACCTTGAATTCCTGGTTTTAAGCAGTCCTTTCACCTCAGTCTCCTGAGTAGCTAGTATTATAGGCATGTACCATTGTTTTTATGTTTTGTAGAGATGGGAGTCTTGCTATATTGCCCAGACTGGGCTCCAACTCCTGGCCTCACGCAATCCTATCCACTTGGCCTCCCAAAGTGCTGGGATTATAGGCATTAAGTCACTGTGCCTGGCCTTCCAATTTCTTTTGTGCTTTTTTTTTTTTTTAATCTCATAGGAATTACCTTCTAACCCTTGACTTCCTTCTCATCCCTCTCCAAATTTCTGTATTCTCTTAGAGAGGGGTTACTACCACTGGACTCGTTGCTGTAGTAAGCAGCTGACTACACTACTGCAGAGTATTGAGGAAAGTATTGAGGAAAGTCTTCTGGACCCTTGAACATCACCTCTAATACCTGAAGATCACACTGGCTTTTTTTTTTTCTAGTTGTAGTCCTAAACTTCAGAGTGTGGATTTTTATTTTTAGTTTTGTGCATACCAGGCTTCCCAGCAGGCCAGGTGATCGGTTGGAGCATTAGCAGTTATAAGAAGCAGATCTCCTCCACTTCCTCCTTATTCCCCATCATTTCCTTGGTTTCCTTAGTGGCTGATCATAAGTCACATCTACATTGGCTTTTAAATGAGGATAATAATACCTATAGCATAAGTTTTTTCATAAAGATTAATGAAGTGTTCTATGCAAAATTATTTGCTCAGAGCCTGGTTCATGGTAAGTGCTCAAATCATAGGGCATTGTTTTTATTACCTTCCTCTTCAGGTTTCACCCTCACCCTCATTTTTTTTTTTTTTTTTTTTGAGATGGAGGCTTGCTTTGTCACCTAGGCTGGAGTGCAGTGGCAAGATCTCGGCTCACCAAAACCTCTGCCTCCCGGATTCAAGCAATTCTCTGCCTCAGCCTCCCAAGTAGCTGGGACTACAGGTGCACGTCACCATGCCTGGCTAATTTTTTGTATTTTAGTAGAGATGGGGTTTCATCGTGTTGCCCAGGCTGGTCATGAACTCCTGAGCTCAAGCAATCCACCCACCTCGACCTCCCAAAGCGCTGGGATTGGAGGTGTGAGCCTCTGCACCCAGCCTCACCCTCTTATTAAGCATCATTACATCTTTTTTTTTTTTTTTGAGACGGAGTTTCGCTCCTGTTACCCAGGCTGGAGTGCAATGGCGCAATCTCAGCTCACCGCAACCTCCGCCTCCTGAGTTCAGGCAATTCTCCTGCCTCAACCTTCTGAGTAACTGGGATTACAGGCACGCGCCACCATGACCAGCTAATTTTTTGTATTTTTAGTAGAGACGGGGTTTCACCATGTTGACCAGGATAGTCTCCATCTCTTGACCTCGTGATCCACCCGCCTCGGCCTCCCAAAGTGCTGGGATTACAGGCTTGAGCCACCGCACCTGGCCTCTTTTTTTTTTTTTGAGACAGAGTTTCGGTCTTGTTGCCTAGGCTGGTGTGTAATGGCCTGATCTCGGCTCACCGCAACCTCTACCTCCTGGATTCAAATGATTCTCCTTCCTCAGCCTCCTGAGTAGTTGGGATTACAGGCATGCACCATCATGCCCAGCTAATTTTGTATTTTTAGTAGAGACAGGGTTTCTCCACATTGGTCAGGGTGGTCTCAAACTCCTGACTTCAGGTGATCCACCCACCTCGGCCTCCCAAAGTGCTAGGATTACAGCCGTGAGCCACCGAGCGCAGCGCATCATTACGTCTTCTTTTGGGGAGACTTCCTCTTTTGTTAAACCTGACCTCTCTCTTCTGAATGAGCTAGGAGATCAAAAAGTCTGACTTCAGATTCAACTAACTAATATACATTTATTGAGTACTGAATTTGTGTCAGACACCATGCTAATTGTTTTAAAGACTGAAAAAGATTAAATCCTGGCCAGATGCAGTGGCTCATACCTGTAATCCCAGCACTTTCAGAGGCTGAGTCAGGTGGATCACTTGAGGTCATTAGTTCTAGACTGGCTAACATGGTGAAACCCTGTCTCTACCAAGAATATAAAATATTAGCTGGGTGTAGTGGTGTGCACCTGTAATCCCACTACTCAGGAGGCTAAGGCAGGAGATTGCTTGAACCCGGGAGGCAGAGGTTACAATGAGCCCAGATTGTGCCACTGCCCTCCAGCCTGGGCAACACAACACTCTGTCTCATCTGGCCTGGGAGCCACCTTTCAGCCTGGAACAGGCAGCACTGATAATAGCTGACTCTCCAGCAGGTCTTATCATGTTGTAAAGTGCTTTCACACAATGTCACCTCCCTGGCCAGGGTGTAGGGTGTAGTTGTCACTCCCTTTGTGTGCATAGGAAGTTGAGACCCAGCCCAGCTTATCCTGTGCTCTGAGGTCAAGCCAAGACAAGAATTTAGGAATCCTCAGTTTCGGGCCAGTGCTATTTTCACTCTTCTGTCATTTCAGCAATCAGGAACCTCACCTACACCAGAGCAGGATGTGTGGGTGGGAGGGGTCGAGGCCAGGGAGACATTTGAATTCGTTTTTTTTTTGTTTTGTTTTCTGAGATGGAGTCTCACTCTGTCACCCAGGCTGGAGTGCAGTGGTGAAATCTCAACTTACTGCAACCTCTGCCTCCTGGGGTCAAGAGATTCTTGTGCCCCAGCCTCCCAACATTCAAATTTTGTAACAACCAAGCAAAAGCAGAGATTCCAGGCCTAGCCCTGGAATGGGTCATGGAGGCACCAGGCTGCCTCCTCTTGGGTTGGCAGAATATGGGATGGGGACAGGTTTGAGGGAGGGCCTGGGATGATGGACAAAGATAAATACTGGAATATTTTAACAAACGCACTTACCTGCTCTTCAGCTTGGGTGGAGGCTGATTGGCCACCAGCCACTACTTTCACTGGGAATCGAGGGGTACAGCCAGGTCTTCTCTCCACAGAGTTCAAAGAGGCCTTTTCACTGTTTGACCGGACCCCAACTGGAGAAATGAAGATCACCTTCGGGCAGTGTGGGGACGTACTGCGGGCCCTGGGCCAGAACCCCACCAACGCCGAGGTGCTGCGCGTGCTGGGCAAGCCCAAGGCTGAAGGTCAGTGAGGCCGCTTGGCAGACTTATCCCAGGTCAGCCTTGCAGTCTCTGGCTCCCTCCTTGTCCAGATTTGTCTCTGCCATCTGCGCTCTCTCTTCTTCCCCGTTAGCCCCCCAGGATCAGCCTCCCCTCCCTAGTTTACCCTAGCCCCATTTCAAGAATTTATCTAGAAGTCCCCATACTTAAGTGACCCTTGAGGAATGTAACCTGGGCTTGTTTTCCTTGCAAGATTGGGAGCTCCTGTGGGCAGGAGCCACATCCTATTTCCTCAGTGTCTGACTCTCTCACCAGGGTGTCAGAGACGCAGCCATGGGCAGGAAGGCTGGGTGGGAATCTGGAATAACTGATGGTTCCCACTCCCCAACCCAGGAGCTCTCAGGAGAGGCATCTGTCACAGCACTGAGATATCCTGAGCTGTATTACAATTTGTTTCTAATAATGGTTAGAGTACTGACGTTTGCAAATTACAGCAACCATGTGAGCTGTATTACAAATAATTTGTTTCTGATAATGGTTAGAGCATTGACGTTTGCAAATTATTTGTTTGATATAAATTAGAGCAGCTTCAAGATTCTTAGCTCTACAGGCTTCCTCTTTCATTCATTTGCATTTCAATGGGTTTTGGTGAGTGAGTGTTTAGAATGATGAGTGAATGTTAGAAAGTGGTGCAGACCTTGTGAGTTGTATTCTTAGGTATTTTATTCTCTTTGTAGCAATTGTGAATTGCAGTTCGTTCTTGATTTGCACATTGATTTTATATCCTGAGACTTTGCTGAAGTTGCTTATCAGTTTCAGGAGTTTTTGGGTTGAGACGATGGGGTCTTCTAGGTATACTATCATGTCGTCTGCAAATAGAGACAATTTGGCTTCCTCCTTTCCTATTTGAATTCCCTTTATTTCCTTTTCTTGCCTGATTGCTCTGGCTAGAACTTCCAGTACTATATTGAATAGGAGTGGTGAGAGAGGGCATCCTTGTCTCAAGGACCTAGAAATAGAAATTCCATTTGACCCAGCAATCCCATTACTGGGTATATATCCAAAGGACTATAAATCAGTCCACTATAAGGACACATGCACACGAATGTTCATTGCAGCACTGTTTACAATAGCAAAGACCTGGAACCAACCCAAATGCTCATCAATGATAGACCAGACTGGGAAAATGTGGCACATATACACCATGGAATATTATGCAGCAATCAAAAATGATGAGTTTGTGTCCTCTGTAGGGACATGGATGAATCTGGAGAACATCATTCTCAGCAAACTGACACAAGAACAGAAAATGAAATACTGCATATTCTCACTCATAGGCGGGTGATGAACAATGAGAATACATGGACACAGGGAAGGGAGCATTACACACTGGGGTCTATTGGGGGGAATAGGGGAGGGACAGCGGTGGGGGGAGCTGGGGAGGGATAGCATGGGGAGAAATGCCAAATGTGGGTGAAGGGAAGTAAGGCAGCAAAACACACTGCCACGTATGTACCTACGCAACTATCTTGCATGTTCTGCACATGTACCCCAAAACCTAAAATGCAATTAAAAAAAAAAGTGGTGCAAACCAATTCTTTTGTAGCTCCTAAGTGTGATCATTGAGTGTTCATACTCATTTGTGCGCTGTGCCTCCGTCAGTCCTTGTTACGACAGATGAAAAGAGGTGCAAGGGAGTGCGTCCCATTTATGTGTGCCAGTGAAGTTAACAGCTGCTGTAACACACACACACACACACACACACACACACACACACGTGTGCTTCTCCTCAGTGGTGTTGGCACTGGGCTTGGGGTAGAGTGAGCCTCTCAGCAAGGGTGGGCCGTCTCTGGAGGCTTCCTGGGGCTCACATTGGTTCCCTCCCCATTTCTTGGTTCTGGCCCCTTCCCCTTCTCCTCTGGCTGAAGATAACCTCGGGGGTGAAGGATGAGGCCAGGAAAGGATCAGAGGGTGAGGAGCTTGCTTCCCAGAAGTCAGAAGCAAGTCCTGGGTGCTTATAAAAGAAAGAAATGCCCACACTTGTGTAGTTAAAAATAGTTTACCTCTATTAAAGTAAAGCTTTTTAACATACTACCATGTGGGAGAACTGTGCTATTCACAAGAGAACTGCAATTTTATAAACTTATTGAATCACAGTAGCTTCACACAGTGTGGTCTAGTGATAAGACCCCAGACAGAGTGATGAAAACATTTCTTTTTCAATCCTGTTGGTTTGCCCCTGTGACTATAAGTCTGTCACACGTCAAGAGTGTAAACTGAGTATGAGGCCCTGGGCCGCGTGGCACCTCAGGCGCCTCACATCCTGCTGCTGCCACCCTCAGTTGCTCCGCCTGGCTGGCCACCTTGTGCACAGAGGACTGGATGGAGGGTTTCTTTTTTTCTTTTTTTTTTTTCAGAAGCAAGGACAAGGAGTAGTTCCACCCTACTCCTTTCACTGAGAAAAGAGGGCCCCTAAGACGGTCTTCCCAGCCCCCAGTCCCCTCCCTTGCTTGGATGGACAGCTCTGTGTCTTCCAGGAGCACCAATAGGCCCCCCACCCAAAAGTGGCTGCAGCCCAAGCCCTGGGTACTGCCAGACGTACGGTGAGGCCCCCTCCTGACCCTCTGCTCCCCTGAACATCTGCTGACGTTGCTTTCTTTTTCTTTACCCATGCCTACCTAAAGAGATGAATGTCAAGATGCTGGACTTTGAGACGTTCTTGCCCATCCTGCAGCACATCTCCCGCAACAAGGAGCAGGGCACCTATGAGGACTTCGTGGAGGGCCTGCGTGTCTTTGACAAGGAGAGCAATGGCACGGTCATGGGTGCTGAGCTTCGGCATGTCCTTGCCACCCTGGGTATGGCAGCTAGGCAGAGATGAAGACCTAGTGGGAAGAATGGAGGCGTGGGAGGTGCCAAGGTGACATATGCTGGTGGGGGGTGTTATACAAGGGTCTCTGCATCCTGAGGATAATGACCTGATCCAGGCCCTGCCTCCCTGGGCTCTGCAAGAACAACCATCCCTAGCTGGGTTTGCTCAGCAAGAACCAGGGTTCGGGAGAGGAGGAGAAAGGAGGTTGGCAGAGCAGGGGTTACTGCTGGGGCCTGAGCAGTGGGACTCTGGGCTTCTGTCCTTGTCTTTGCCTGAAACACTGAGGCCCTGGCAGCTGTAAGACAGAGAGGGAGGTTTTGGAGACTAGGCAAGACCTTAAGACCCTGGCCCCATACTTCAAAGGCTTTGGGAGAGGCTTGGTTTCAACTGCCTCCCAGATCCAGGTAGTCTTGGACCTTCAGACTTAAGGGGGTACCTCGGTATTGCCAATTCCTCATTTGCCATCTGTAATTAAGAGCCCACCACCTCCCAAACCCACTGCAGGAGAGAAGATGACTGAGGCTGAAGTGGAGCAGCTGTTAGCTGGGCAAGAGGATGCCAACGGCTGCATCAATTATGAAGGTATTAAGCTATGCCTGCTTCCCAGGGCATCCAGGGATGGTAGGATGGGAATAGCTTGTGTGGGTGGGCCCAGGAACTGGAGGGTGTGTGTCTCAGGTGGGCTTGGGTAGACCCCTCATTGGATGTTGTTCTTTTTCATCTTGTGAGTGAACCTCCTAGTGTCATGGTGGGAGCATGGATTTTGGAGATAGCTCTGTGATATATTAGCTGGTGGCCTTAAGTCACTTATTTTCTCTGAGCCTCAGTCTTCTCGGCTGAGGGATGGGGTGATGCTGGAGCCTTTCTCAAGGTTGTGGGAATTCACAGAGATAATGTAGCTCTTTCCATTTGTGTTGAGAATCAGCACAGAAAGTGGTCCCAGAGCAGAGTGTAGGTGTCTGCCCTTCCTCCACCTTCTCCCCACTGACCCCCAAATAAGAGCAGGAACTACACAGTCTGGAGAAAGGGGAGCAGGAGGGTTGGAAGTCAGGCAGTATAGAGAAAGGACAAGTGGTTTATGGGCCTAGAGGTGCTGAGCCACACGGCGGCTGATTCTCACTTCTTTCCTAGCCTTTGTCAAGCACATCATGTCAGGATGAGGCAGAGTCTTCCAGGTGAGTGCAGCCTCTTCCTCCTTGTCCCTTCTGGGGTTACAAAAGGGCTTAAGAATAACACCACATGCCCTAGAGGGCATCTGCCTCAGTCCTGACCCCTTAAGAGGAAACCACTTGGGAGTAGGAGACCTGAGGACGGTCCTGCTCACTCACCATCTCCAGTCTCCTGCCCTCCCTTGCCTGGTCACCCTGTCTTGGCCCTATCCACCACATTCTCCTGCCTCTCCCATGACTTCTCAAGGCAATGCCCTTCCTTCAGGCCTGGGGCCTCCTGTACAGGCTCCTGGGGAGGAGAAAGCCAGATCCCAAGTGGAAGTGAGGGTCCCCAGCCTGTGCTCTTGACTCTGTTCTTCCTTACTTCTTTCCCTAGGTTTCCCCTGTAACCCCCCTGGTGGTGGTAAGGGGCTGGGTATAGGAGGGGAAATGCCCTTTCCACCTATCACTTTCTTTCAGGTGCCTGGCCCTTGGCCTTAGCCATACAAGGGCGAGTTAGAGAGAGGTCCTGGATGTGAGCTGAGACAGAGTCCTGGACTTATCACCATGCCATTGCCCCAAGGACCTCACAGCCCCTCCCTGTTAATAAACAGCTCCTATATGGCCAGGCTGGGCTCCGGGATTCTGACCAGTCTCTGCTTTGTTTGTTTTGTAAAACTAATCAACAAATTGAGTTGGTTTGTGTTGTGTGTGTGTGATAACATCGCCTGAGGGCTTGTGTGTGCTCAGAGAAATGAGTAGTATCTGGGAGCTAGGATACAAGGACAAAAGCCTGTGGATCTAGAGATACTGGGGTCAGACCCAGGAGAGTGAGCTCTGGAAGGCCAGCAGCTTGAGGGCTTGTCACCTGTGGGAGTTTCATTCCCTTCGCTGCGCACCCTCTGCCTTATCACACCTCCAGGTGGCAGCAGGAGGGGCCGGGCTGAGGCAGGGACTCCTCCTATGGTCTTTGCTGTTGCTGCTTAAAAAAAAAAAAAAAAAAAAAAATTGTAAAATACACATAAAATTTATCATCTTAAACAGTTTCTTTTTGAGATGGAGTCTCGCTCTGTCACCCAGGCTGGAGTGCAGTGGCACAATCTCGGCTGGCTACAACCTCCACCTCCAGAGTTCAAGTGATTCTCCTACCTCAGCCTCCCGAGTAGCTGGGACTAGAGGTGAGTGCCGCCACGCCCGGCTAAGTTTTGTATTTTTAGTAGAGATGGGGTTTTACCATATTGGCCGGGCTGATCTTGAACTCCTGACCTTGTGATCTACCTGCCTTGGCCTCCCAAAGTGCTGGGATTACAGGCATGAGTCACTGTGCCCAGCCCCCATCTTAACCATTTTTAAGCATACTGTTCAGTAGAGTGAGGTATATTCGCATTGCTGTGTAACTGTATTAGTCTCTTTTCACACTGCTGATAAAGACATAACCTGAAACTGGGAAGAAAAAGAGGTTTAATGAACTTACAGTTCCACATTGCTCGGGAGACCTCACAATCATGGCAAAAGGCAAGGAGGAGCAAGTCACATCTTACCTGGATGGTGGCAGGCAAAGAGAGCTTGTTTTTAAAAGGGAAATTTCCCTTTTAAAAACCATCAGACCTTGTGAGACTTATTCACGATCAAGAACAGCACGGGAAAGACATGGCCCCATGATTCAGTTACCTCCTGCCGGTGCCCTCTCACAACACGTGGGAATTCAAGATGAGATGTGAGTGGGGACACAGCCAAACCGTATCAGAACTTTTTCATTTCCAACAGCAGAAACTCTTTGCTCATTAAACAACTCCCCATTCCTTCCTTCCTGCAGCCCCTGGCAATCACCATTCTACTTTCCATTTCTATGAATTTAACCACTCTAGATAAGTGAAATCAGACAGCGTGTGTCTTTTGTATCTGGCTTATTTTATTTAGCACAATGTCCTCATGTTCCTTTTTTAAGGCTGAATCATATTCCATTGTATGGATGGACTGCAGTTTGGTTTGGTCCTTGCTTTTTTAGATGTCTCTTCCACTGAATGCAAAACTTCAAGTACCTGCATTAGTCCTGCATGTTCTGGAAATCTCATTGATTCCAGACCCAGGATTCCAGCTCAGTTCCCTGGAAAGGGTCAAGGTCAGAGGTCATGAACCTCAGACTGAGAGGGGAGGGGAGTGGGGAGAGGCACGTGCGAAAAGGAGAGACACTAGAAAACCAGCAGTTGGGAAGAAGGAGCAAGACGATGTGATGAAGTTAAAGACACATGTATATGAGTAGAAATATTTATATGGGAGCTCAGGGGTCCAGACATCCGAGAAGGGGAGTCCCTACATTCCTGAGAACTCTCCCAGGTGAAGTAAATACTTCCCATGGCCTTTCTGTTACCTAAAACTGTCAAGCATATAGCTACAGAACTCTGTGGAATAACTATGAGTCCAGCCAAGGCTGCCTGCCTGTCATGGGAAGCTGAGAACCATGAGCCCAAGTTTGCCCTTCTTAGAATTTACATTTCTGCCTGGGGAGACAAGGCCAAAATCTATGTATATGTCCTTTTTTCCCCAGATTTTCTTTGAGGAACTTTGGGAGTGACTGATTGAATCTCAAAACCAGAGATCTTTATACAGTTGAGGAGGGGTTCATTGAATCCAGTGGTTCTCAAACTTTGGTTTAGCCCCATAGCCTTTTGTTCAAACTAAATTTTATGGGGAAGTCAATACGTGTAGCCAAAAGAGCTTCTTTGGCTAAGGAGAGGGGCTGGGTTCAGGCTTTTTGGAGCCTCTAACTGGGCTCCTTGGAGTGGAGCCAGTCAGACTTTCTAATTGTCAAAATCAGGAAACCAGATAATTAGAGCTGAAGTGACTTAATCAAAGTCACAGCTAGTGTTGACAAGGTCCTCTGAATTCTACATTTTTTCCATTTTTGACGTACCATTTTCAACCTGCCTTTGAAACGTTTTCCAAGCTTGGCTCTTAGGACTCTTTTCCTTGTCCTCTGCCTTTTGGACTGCTCTTTTTGGCGTTTCTGCAACTTTTCTTGAAATAACACCCCCAACTTGAAATGCCAACATTTCTCCTTAGTACTGGGGCCTCGTCAATTTTCCCTCTTTCCCTTCCTTTTTTCTTTTTTAACATTTAATTTAGGTTCAGGGGCACATGTGCAGGTTTGTTACATAGGTAAATTGCATGTCTTGGGGGTTTGATGTACAGATTATTTCACCATCCAGATAATGCACATAGTACCTGACAGGTAGTTTTTTGATCCTCATCCTCCTCCCTCTCTTCTTTCTTTCTTCAGCAACTATTTATTGCCCACTGTATTCAATTGTGAGGAATTGGAGTTAAGGTTCACAGTGATTAGAAAACTGAAAGTGTTTTCCTTGCCTAAAGTAGCTTACTGTTCACTTAAGCAAGCCCATAAATATCCAGGGATAAATAGAGAACGATCCCCAAATAGCACAGGGATAACTCCATCTATGTAATATACAGTGTAAGTTTTAAGAAACCAATCAGAGGAGGAACCAGAAGGAAGTGAGATACTAGAAGTATTTTATCTGGGAGAAGAGCTTTCAGTGAGACCTTAAAGGAAAAGATGCCCCAGGGTTGGTGCTTAGGTCAGGGAGAAGAAGAGCATGAACAAAGGTCCTGATTCACTAATTCAACAGATGCTCATTGGGTACCTGCTGTGCACATGGCACTGGCATGAGCCTTGGGGATATACTGAACCACACAGATATGGCCCCTGTCCTCATGGAGCTTTTAGTCTAATGGGAAGACTGACATTAGTTATAATGATGTTACAATATCAGCCAACATTTATTGAACACAGTATTAATTAAGATTACATTTGACTGTGAGTTATGAAGACCAAAACACAGTGGCTTCAGAGAAATAGAAGTGCATTTTTTTCCTCCCATTGCAATCTAGACATTGGCAGTCCATGGCTGACATAGCCATCATACTCCACAGTCCTCAGGGACCCAAGTGCTTTTATTGAATGGCGTCTCAGTGTGTGACCTCTACACATGGTCTAAGATGCTGCTCTGGCTCAGCTGTCACTTCCACTGAGGGATAGTTCAGGAAGCATTTTCTTTTCTTTCTTTCTTTTTTCTGGAGATGGAGTTTCACTCTGTCACCAGGCTGGAGTGCAGTGGTACGATCTTGGCTCACTGCAACCTCTGAATCCCTGGTTCAAGTGATTCTCCTGCCTCAGCCTCCTGAGTAGCTGGGATTACAGGCATGTGCCACCATGCCCAGCTAATTTTTGTATTTTTAGTAGAGATGGGGTTTTGCCACATTGGCCAGGATGGTCTCGACCTCCTGACCTCGTGACCCACCCGCCTCAGCCTCCCAAAGTGCTGGGATTACAGGCATGAGCCACTGTGCCCAGCCCAGGAAGCATTTTCTACTTGGCAAACTTCCTCGGGAACCAGCACAACTTATTCGGCACTTCTGTGGTGTTGGGCTTGTTCATCTGAAGACAGAAGAGACTCCTGTCCTCCTAGTCATCCCTTCCCCAACCCCCTACTTTGCCCGGCCCATAACTAAGGATTTGCCCGGCCCATAACTAAGGATTTGCCCCACCTGGGAAGAGGTATGCATAAAAGGTGACTAAATAAAGTTCACGATTTTCTTCAATTAGACTGACTTCCACTATTTCAAACCCAGATCCAGACGATGTACAGTTGACCCTTGAATAGCATGGGCTTGAACTGTATGACTCCATTTATATATAGATATTTTTCAATAAAAGTTACACTGAGTGTGCCTGTCCTCTTGCATCACCTTTCACCTCCACCTCCTTTTCCACCTCTGCCACTCTGGGACGGCAAGACCAGCCCTTCCTCCTCCTCAGCCTACTCGACGTGAAGATGAGGAGGAGGAAGACCTTGAAGCTGATCCACTTCCACTTAATGAGTAGTAAATATATTTTCTCTTATGATTTTCTTAATAATATTTTCTTTTCTCCACTTTATTATAAGAATATAGTCTATAATAGATATAAAAATGTATGTTGTTTCTGTTTTTGGCAAGGCTTCCAGTCAACAGTAGGCTATTAGTAGTTAAGATTTTTAGGAATCAAAAGTTATATGCACATTTTGGATTGCATGGGGGGTGGTGCCCCCAACCTCCATGTTGTTCATGGGTCAACTGTAATTTATGGAAATAGGACTGAGCCTACTGGGGGCCCTTCCACCACCCTGAGTGGTGCCTGAATGAGGACCTGAGAAGCTAGTATCTCAGGCAGGATGAGTGTAGGGGGTCAGAACGAGGAGCAGAAGGGTGTTCCAGTTCTGGGGAAGATTTAAGGGGGGCTCTGGTCTGGAGCCAGCAATGGCACCATCCTGAGGGGATGATGACAAATGAGGGGACATAGGGGAGCTGCTTCTGTGGAAGGGTGAATATGACTGTTCCCCAAAGGCCAGGCTCTCTGCCTCCTTGTGGACAGATGCTGAGGAGAAGTTTGCCCAGAAAGTTGTCAGAGAGGATGGGTAGTTTCATGGAACGTTCCCACTGTCAGAGGGAACAAACAGCCAGTGACCTTCAGGTGGGAGGTGGGAAAGGAGCAGAGGGGGACAGGGTATTCAGGGGCCTTTGCTAAGTTTCCTCCCTGCTCACTGCCACAGGCCCTTGATAGAGGTCAGAGCCTCTACTAACCCCCCAGGA